CCGCCGTGCGCGGACGCGGGGAGGAGCCGGCCTGGCGTCCCTCGGTGGAGGGTGATTCGGATCCGAAGTGAAAATGAAAGCAGCCTTAAAGAGAAATGCACAGGAAAGAAGGGCCTTTGCGGGTCGCCGTGAGCTAAATGAAGATTCATCTGCAAATGCTCAAAGAGATGAGAACACAAGAGCCAGTGCTGAAAGCGTCCCAATGTGCTGTGAAGTACAGGGCATCCCAGGAGAGAATCATGTTGGAGTCCCCCCAGAAGCAGCCGAGGATTCTAAGCAGATGCAGGTAAACAACTGCCTTGCACATCACACTCAATGCATCAGCTTCACTCTGTTTGCAAACCTATCACCACATGAGACACTAGAGGAAATTTTTCAAGATTTATTTCCCCAAAGAAGACTTGATCTGCTTCAACTCGATCACCACACAAGCCAACGACAGAAATGATGCTTTCCAGTTAAACCAGTAATAGTTGGTGTGGTGTCACACTCTCCCTCCCAGAGCATCACAGCACGAGCCCCAGCGTGGCCAGGGACCAGCCTCGGGTGTGCCACAGGGACCCCCACCCCCCAGAGGAGCTTGAGGTTTGTCTTTGCAAATAGTGCTGAACGGGGAGGGTGTTCACACACCAGCAAAAAGCTGAGCTCCCTGCCACCTGCCACACCAAGGCCTGCTGGAGCCAGCGGGGAAGAAAGCGTCAGGGAAACATCAACTCTGTGTATTTCAATTTAATTCCTGGGGTTTTTGTTGTTGTTTTTAATGTAAAGTTAAACTGGCAACACCTAACTGAAACATGGAACACCTTTTGTTCATACAAGAACACCAGGAGAGTTTGGAAACTGTCTTTATTTTAAGCGGCCTGGAAGGTCAGTGTTCAGTAACAGAAAATACAGGTTCTTTCAATAAATAAAAGTAGGAAAAAATATTAACCCTTTGTGGTATTTTCTTGAAATCAAACAAACTTTTCTGTACCTGAGGTTAGTCCAAGGCTGTGGATATGACCAGTACGAATCCATTCCCTCCTCCCCATGATACTTTGCATAACATCCTGCTGGCAGGAGAGCTGCACATTTCCAACCAAGGAAAAATCTCACACATGGCACGAGAAATGCATGAAAAAAGTGCAGACAGAAGATTTTGCCAAGGGTGCAACATTAATTTAGGAATACATTCCTCGTTAACTGTTTTCACATAAGTGCAGGTTTTGTGTAAGTGGG